ACTCCAGCTCCCAACCCAGCCAACCTATCCAGAAGGACACCATGGTTGATGGTGTTGGAAGCCGCTGAGAGGCCCAGGAGTATCAACAGGGTCACGCTCCCCCTGTCTCTCTCCCGGCAAAGGTCATCGTACAGGGTGACCAAGGCAGCCTCCGTACCAAAACCCAGCCTGAAAATTTTCATTGAGAAAATCCATTTCATCCAACAGTGCCTGGAGTTGCCCGGCCAGAACCTGCTCCAACACTTTGCCCAAATAAGGGAGGTTCGCCACTGGTCGGTAGTTAACCACCAGCCTTGGCTCCAGGATAGGCTTTTTTAGGAGTGGCCAAATCACTGCCTCTTTCAAGGTAGACATGGTCTAGAGGGGTGGGATATTAAATAAATAAATAAATAAATAAATAAATAAATAAATAAATAAATAAATAAATAAATAAGTGGTAGGGACCACTCCCTCTCTCAAAGAGGCATTCATGGCCTCCTGGACCCAGGTGCGAACCCCCCTGGCAGATCTTCCAATTAGCCAAGATGGGCAAGGGTCGAGAGGAGTGGTGGTAGAACGGACAGATCCAAACACCCTATCCATATACTCAGGTCTCAACAATTGAAACTAATCCATTAATACTTGACCTAAACATGGCACCTTGGACACATCCTCTGATTCTACAGTAATGTTGGAGTCCAACCCACTGTGAATCTGAGCGATTTTTCCCTCAAAATGAATGGTAAATTCATCACAGCAAGCTGATGAGCAGTCCGGGACCTCCGGATTTCCCGGTTGAAGAAGATCCTGGACCACCTGAAACAGCTCTGCTGGATGAAATTCTGGGGAAGCAATACGGCTGGAGAAATATTGCTATTTCACCAGCCATAAAATAGGCCCAATAATGGGCTGTAAGTCCTGTTTGATTGGACTCCCAGCGGGATTTCCTCCACCTGCGCTCCAGCCATCCCCCCTCTCGCTTCATCACCCATAGTTCAGAAGTATACCAAGGAGCTGTTTGGGCTCTGTGTGTAGGGAGAGGGCGCTTAGGCACAATCATGTCAACTGCCCGGGTCATCTCCCTATTCCATAGGGTGACCTCAGCTTCAACAGGAGCACCGACCATATCAGGTGGATAATCCTCCAGAGCATTCAGGAACCCATCCAGATCCATTAGTCTCCGAGGGTGGATCATCTTAATAGATCCCCCATCCTTGCAGAGGGGAGAAGAAGCTGATAAAGTAAACTTGTGGACTACAGTGCAGGCTGTGCTCAGATGGAGATTTGCCCCACAGGTTGGTCTGCTGTAGGAATGGGGTGGTTTGCTCCTTTTCCTGGTGACCCCATATTGCATGGACCATCATAAATCATACAATCCATGATCAATGCCTACCTTTTAGGGTACTGTTTGTGTGTGTTTATGGGCAGCATCACTCAGTTTTGGTTTGGTCACAAGGAATGAAGCAAAGCAGATGGCTTGAGCTGTCCCTTTGCTTATACAGTCATGCCCTGCTTAACGATTACCCCGTATATCGACGAATCTGCTTCACCACGATGTTTTTGTGATCGCAATTGTGATCGCAAAACAAGATGGGGTTTTTCGCTTTGGTTCCCTGCTTCAGGAACCGATTCTTCGCATTGCAACGATCCAAACAGCTGATCGTTGGGTTTTCAAAATGGCCACCGGGTGCTCAAAATGGCTCCCCGCTGTGCTTAGGGACGGATTCCTCACTCTACAGGCACCGAAAATGGCCTCCCCTATGATCTTTGCTGGACGATAAGTTTTCAGCCCATTGGAACATATTAACCGGGTTTTAATGCATTTCAATGGGCTTTTTTATTTCGCTTTACGACTTTTTGCTCTACAGCGATTTTGCTGGAACGAATTAATGTTGTTAAGTGAGGCACCACTGTACTGCTTCATGATCTTGGGAAATTGGGAGCTTCCACCTTTCCTTCACTGGGAAGCAGGAACAAACTTTCTATTTCCCATGGTTGTCAAGCAGCTTATGCAAAGCACAGAGGGGACACGGAGGGGTATTCTTTCTTTCTTTTCCTTTAAAAGAACCGCCAAATAGGGTTGTTGGAGGTGCAGTGTGTTCGATAATTCAAAATCCTTTGACAAATAAAACTTTTTAATCCTAAGACTGTTCATCATTTTCATAGCAACAAACGAATGCATTTACCTCCCTGGATGTTATTAACGAAGCGTGTAGTTAACAGTTTAATGTTTCACATGTATATTATATACTCTTTTGTTGGATATTGTCATAAAATCTATTTTGTATTAGATTTTTTAAAAAATATAAAATCACATGCCACAACAATGGATTTGCTGCAACATCTTTACTCATCCAACTCCTATGGAAGGTAAATAGGTTGATTCCACACTGAATTTTTTGTTTTTTTATAGTTTGTATATAACATGGGTAGAGGATCTATAGGCATCCATAGATATTGTTACTTCATTAAATTGAAATCCCTTGGTTTGACATTCTGTAAAGAATACAATTGCTTTGAATATATGCAACTCAATCATTCATGCATTAGAAGGAGTTTTTGCACTATTACACCATGGGAGAGATACAGTATCTAGTAGATATCAGAAATAAGATGAGCTTTGCTATTGTCCTTAATCTCTGTGCTTGTAGTAGTAGTACAGTAGTTTTAAAACAAAGGCCCTTCTATTCTCCTCTCTCTTTACCTTTAAATCAGTGGTATACTTCCAAAAAGAAGCATGGACCATTGGTAGATATACTCAAGGCCCCCTTGTTCACACACTTTTAAAAACTTAAACAAAGAAATCACTTCGTGTTCATTCTTCTTCAAAATTCCTGTCTTTCTGACAATACTGTTTTCCATATACTCAAGAACCATCAGTGTGTGGTGTATCCTGCAGTTATTTTCCATTGTCTAGTAATCTTCTGTCAAGCTGCTACTAATAAAAAATGCATGAGGCCCTTATGAAGAAGTTTATGTTTTTCCTCAGAACAGAAGGGCTCTTGAAGGCCTTAGCTGTAGAGATTGGTGAGTTATAATTGAGAGTTTCAAAAACGGCCTTCCAAAGAATTTGTAAATGTGAATACGTTAGCAGTCTTCTGATGTGGCAGCCCCACCAACACGATGCAGAAATAATTTTCGTTTATGCAGTGCACTTCCTGTCTGAACTGGATGTAATTATTAGAACTTCATTCCCTGTATAAATATTAAAGACAAACATTTCAGAGTTTTTGGACCCTCAGAACCACCTCATCTTGCATTTTAAGGAACTGATGAATTGGCTGTTTTAGTGCAGTCTCGATCAGGCTACAAAAGGTCTGTCAAGGTTGGGAGGAGGAGCAATGTGCCATCTGGCATGCACTTCCTGTCTGAATGTAACCCAGTTCATTGTCAATGAAGTGCTTCCCCTGATTGTATCTGGAGTGGGAAGTGAAATTATTTTTAATAAAATTATTCATCACGGCAACAATCAGGGGAGGTGTTTAATTTCTGATATCCTGAAGTGGCTCAGAAACCAAAAATTGCCGCCAGAAGGAGTTGTGATGTTCTAGTTTAGTCCATTCTAAGCAACCACACTCCCTGGAAATGGACTAAACTGGAGCCCCCCAACTTATATTAAAATAGTAGAACCTCCTGATAGGCGTAGGTTGGAACAAATTGGTCTGTACAATCTCCACATGTGGACATCAGAAAAAAAAGACCCATAAGCACACCAAACAGCACGACAAATGCTCATGTGGATTTCCTCTACATTGCAATGGGCATCTAAATAAGATTAGAGAGCTATTGAAGTGGTCACAAAGCGGAGAGCCATGTGAGCTACAATGTACTACATTGTTTGCACATGCATAAAATCACCCTGAAAAGTCAAGCTGCTAATTGTTATCAGGTTGATATAGCACACTATTTTTAAATCTCACTGATGAGTAGCATTACCAGGTGTATTATTCTCTTGAAAAGTAAACAAGGCAAATATTATAGCCATCAATACTTTATCCAGGAGTACACAAATATTTAAACAAGGAAGTCAATTTCAAAATGGAAATTGTTTTCTGCAAGAAGAAATATCCCCTTTGCCAACCAAAACTTTAAGTCAACTGACATTACTAGATTCTTGGCATTGCTAATGGTGCTGTTTTTCAAAGTAACAAGGTAATAGAAATCATTCTGTTTTTCTTCAGGATACATGGCTAGTGCATTATTCACAATCAAGAAGATTAGAAATGTAGTTACAAATCAGAAGGAAAACTCCCAGGTTTTTAATAAGTGCCTGCACAAAGCATCAATCTCTCTATGTCTTTGTGTGTGTGTGTGTAAATTGCCAACCTCTGATCTATGCACAGTGAAGCCAGAAGTAAACAAATTATTCATAGTGACTTCATTTGTCCTTGTTTATCTCAGTAGTGCCAGGACAGCCTTGTTGTATTTTTTTTTTAATCTCTGGGCAAAGATTAGTGACTTTGTTGATGTCTTCATGGGAGGACAAGGGGTTGTATAAATTTTTAACTTTTTAACTTGCTTATTGTTTTTTTAAATACCATTATGTTCATGTGCACATAGATCAATATATCAATTGGTTCACAATCGAACTAACAGAGGCTTCCTAAACTCTCTCATACTATCTGCAGAGACACTCTAAGATGTGCATCAGATCATTGTTCCAAGGTGCAAAAAAGGGCAGATGGGCATATCGCACCTCTCCGTTTTCTATTGCCTGGTTTAAAAATGCACATTTTTTGGCAGCGCATAATGTTCACCTTGAATTTGAGGGAAGCACTGTGGCCTCCTAACTTCATGCCAAACTAAAGAATAAAATACAGTATTATCTTTCCCTTCCTCTGGTTATGTCTCTGAGGAAGGCAACAGGAAAGCTGGGAAAACTACATTTTGATTCAGAACTGAGCTGCAATTTAATTTAATTCTCCAAGTCAAATTCTGACCCTGATTAATCAAGTGACTCTTGAGGCTTCTATCAAACTTAAAGGGACTCTAAACAACACTCAAAGAGCACCAATACATACCTGTACAACAGATATGATGCACATATGCTTTTCAGATAAGTTGATACGGGTGGTCACATTCTGAGAAAGGTACATGTTGACTGATGTCCTCTACAAAACCCAATGTGTTGCCCTTGGAGTCTACTTGAATCGTCATAGCTGGGCACTGTCCTTCCATCACTATTTGGTTATAATGTAACCATGTTTTTCTCTGCTTCAGTTGTCTCCTTAGTCTTTCGTGATCCTGCTTCCCCTTTCTCCCTACTCACTCAAGACATAAACGTTAATGATGAGATTTCATGCTCAGTCAAGTTTTCGAAATCCACTTATGAAACATCAATCACATTACATACCTGCTCTGGCTGGGCAGCTGCTTCCCCCTCCTTTCAGATGGTTGATGGTTGAAGATAAATAATGAACTAATACCCACAGCGTCTCCTTTTTCCATCTTCCTTCCCTTCCTTCCCTATAAACCCTCTGTAGGTGATGTCTTAGTTGCTGTGGGAATTTATATTGTTTTGAAATTTATCCTTTGACCACTTAATTGTCTCTGTTGGCAAGAAAATGTGCTCAAATCCATGCCATATTGCACCTCTTTCCTCTCATTTCTCTGTTACACAACCACACATTTATCCAGGGCAAAGTGATAAGTCCAGGGCAGCTACCTAAAACTGCAACTTCATGTTGAAGATTCCTACATAACACATAATGAAATGGATGCCTTGATGTCATGATACAGTTGTACCTGGGTCAGAGCAAGTGTAGCCAATTATTACACAGCCAGTAATGGTGGTGAAATGCATAATTTCTGATGGTGAGAACAACGACCAGTTTTACTGAATCTTGTAAAGGAAAATGGTGAGGAATGGATGCTAGGCTGTCATTTTCAACCACATAGCTATATTTTGTATATCATAGCTTGAACCTATACTCAGCCATGGGCCATTCCCTAATCCCTCATTCTACTTCGTTAATTGGTAAACCAACTGAAGCAATTTCTCTCTTGCATGCTTGCTCTCTCTAACAGTGTAAAGAAACTACTATATTTATTTTGGCTTTGGAACAAACTGGCTAAAACAGCAAAGGCAGATGCCAGGAATGTTTATCAGACTGGGGTACCATATTAAACAATTTAAAAAACAATCCCTAGGGATAATCAAGTTGGATGCATCTCTCATATCTGAGTATGTCTCTTAGATGGTTGAAGAAAAATTGTCTGCAAGGAGGGATATGACAAGTACACACAACATTTCTCATTCTCTGTGATTTTCTGAGACTTAGCATATCAAGCCCCCTCCAAAACTTCCTCTTGTGTCAGTGAGATTGCTGAGCTTTCCATGAAAATGAAACTCTGCCAAGACTCCCCTTTGCACCTATGAAATTTCTTATAAAAATAAGACCATGGTCTTATTTCATCACCCCTATTTTTGCCTGTTGTTCTGTCCAAGAAATGTCCAGATTCAGCTCAGTTTAATGAACATTCCTGTAATCCTGCAGAGGAAATATCCCATTCTGTGGAGGAATAGGAAAAATTGTGCACAGGTTGGAAACATGTAATTTAGGCAGGAATTGTAATAACCCTACACAATTTTTTATTTCTTCTAGAAATATTTACTATAGAACTTCTGAGAAACCACATGAAATTTCCTGAGTGATGTAAGAGCTTCACAAATCCAAATTATGAGTTTAAGGACTTTCCCAGAAGGACAGGGTTGACCTTACCATTAGGCAGAGTGAGGCAGTCATCTCAAGGAGCAGATGGTTGGGGGCAAGTGGGGACAGCACTATCCCAGTGATTCTTTTCCAGATCCCTCTGTGATTGTGTTCTGTAACAAAACAGGATGAGATATGCCCGGCCCAATCTGCCCTACATCTCCTAAACTAGAATTACTCCTTCAAATGCTTCAGAGGATGCTGAATGCTCACCGTGGTTAGTCCATTGTTGATCTGCATGGCTTATGGTTTTGGAATGGAGGAAAAGCAGCATAATATTTCCCCTTGCCTCAAGTGTAAAATGTGTCTTGGGCTGGGTTTGTTGGGAGATACTGTCTAATGTGTTGTCCATTCATACTCTCTAGTCAAACTAGCTTGCACTGTTCCCTCTCTAATAAGCCTCTAATCTAGTCTCAAATGCTGAGGATAATATGATTGCTGTAAGGTCATAAACAGATTATTAACACCACCAAGACTTTGTAAAGATGAAGGGCCAAACTATATGTTAGTAATATTTCATCATTAGAGGCTAAAATCCACTAATATTCCAGAGGTATTTCAGGCAGATCAACCATAACTTCAAAGAAAGCAGGTGTTTACATCCCAAAGACAAGCCGTTAAAATATTGTCAGATAATTTGCAAATTATAGGAGATGCAGAATAACTTTTAGTGTGATTGTCAAATGGTTTTCAGAACAAAAATAATTTCCATTCCTAATTATAGGCTATCTTAACATATAGTTTTGCCCTAAGAAAGACAGGATTATCTGTGTGCTGGAAAACAGTGAGGTAGCTTGGAACAGAATATAAAGTTGACAAACCACCATATGGCTTATGGACAACAAAGGCACCTATGTCTTCATATAGCACTTTACATACTGAATATCGTCTGAGCCAATTAAATTTAAGCTGGCAGGAGCTCAATATTTGCAAGTTGACATTCCCACAGATTTAGAAACATGCCTGCTTTAAATATGGGTCAGGTATGGCATGTTGTTGTTGTATAAGTTATTTTATTTTAAAAATTGGTATAATACCGGATTGACTGAAAAGGGCCCTGAAGGCAGCTCATGCAAAACAATTTAAAATCCCAATATTAATTTAAAAGGCATCAAAAAGTCTCATAAATACTTGAGAAAACACCCACAGACACCCACACCATACTTCATAACCAACATAAAATACTTGGTTAGACGTACCAGAGGCAGCAGCAATTACTCCTCCTCAGAGCACTGCCATTTCCTGCAAGGCACGAACTTGAGCGGGAAGCTTCAGAAATCCCTCAGTGTCATCAAGGCTTCTTTCTTTATCTGGCTAGCTCTTTAATTTCGCTTCAAAGGTCACCCCATTCTCCTTTGTATGTGCCAAAGCATTTCAAGATACCACTAATTAAGTTTAAACAGAAAGGAGGGATTTGCTGGGGTGGGTATAGATTTGCCACAGACTGTGAAGAAGGCATGTGGTGGAGGATTTTGTTGTTTGTTCAGATTTACACAAAGCTTTTCCGTCCTTTCTAAATGTACATGCAGATGTGGGAGTCATAGACCTCCTCTATATGGCTCTCTTCTGTTTTGCCTGTAAGAGCTTTAGCTCAGCATCACACACTGATGATTAGTCCACAAATAAAAGCTCATACAACAAGCTTCACTAAATCCTTTCATCTTTTTCCCCAGTGGAGAAATGTGGCAATCATGGAGACCTTTTGGCTTAAGGAAAAAAAGGCAAATACAGGGGAGGAATGGCATAACTCTATAGTACAGTGTATGGTGCTCGGAAATTAATCATGAGGAAGAATTTCTTTGGCCTTGTTTGAGCATTATAAATGCCAATGCAATGAGCATATGACAAGGGAAATGCCTCTCCTGCCCCTCCCCATAATGTCTTCACAGTTTCAGTGACCAATCTGAAGAAGTGGTGGGGCTGCATAGTATGTAGGCTCTTGTGTGTGAACAAGAACAACTTCCAGGGCTTTTGCTTATGGATAAAACCTTCATGTGAGTGACCTCTCTTCTTCAGACATTGTGCAGAGATTACAAACAATGTGATGACAATGAGGGCAGTGCTAGGGCATTCTCCCCCAAGAGTGTTCATAGCAATGGCATTTATCACATAACTCTTATTATTCTAACAGCCGGGTTAATCTACTGAAGTTGAATGGTTTGAGTTTCAGAACTTATAAAAATATGTACTTCTTTTTATCTGTGGAATTCATTGCCACAAGATTTATTGATGACTGTATATGAGTAATGTAAATCTTCACTTGTCTTATGTTGTTGAAGAATGAGAAAAATGCAAATTCCCCTCAAATGCAAAAGGGTGACATATTTTCTGTAGGTATCAATGAGAGTTTTTCTGTTTGTCATCATGTTTTAAATTACAGAACCTACACAAAACTATGACAACCTGCTGATCTGTTTCATGTACCTTTTGGAATTAGAAGCATTGGATGAATTCTTTCTGGTTGTTTGAACAATCAGGAAGTCTTTCCATGTCTGTTTCCTGTGTGTTCTTCATTTCTTTAGTTTGTAAAAAGGATGTTAGTTTGTACATAGATATTTTGCACAAACTGTGGAATCTTGCGGGGCAGGGGAAGCTCCGTCGCTTGTCTGTCATGGTAGTGGCCCTTTACTGCAGCAGATCTGGTCTGATTTTGGAAGATAAGGAGATTTAGGCCAGGTTAGTCCACCAAAGAGTGCCAGGGATCCTAAGGTGGGATTAGGGAAAGAATTCTGTCTGAAACCTGGAGAATCACAACACTTAATGTAATTGTCGCCTGTTTTAATTCTGATTTTGATCTTTGTTTTGAGTTTCTTTTAGGCAACTTGATGTATTTTTTATGTTTTTGTTATTGGTTGTAAACCACCCAGAATAACCATTGGTTAGATGGACGGCATAAAAATAAAATAAATGAATAATAAAATAAATAAATCACTCAGAACTGACAATAAGGGGCCTGATGAACCAATGCTGTGATTCAACATAAGGCAGCCTCCTATGGCTCTCTGAGAACCTTCAGATGGAAACATTAACGGTCTATTTCTATTTTTCATATAATGCTGTAAAACCCAATCCATTGTAATGCAAAATATTTACAAATGAAGTAAAGATATATCACCATTTCTGCTTTATTGCAAGAAGTATATACCTGAATGCAATATAAAAGTAGCCCTTCCCAGTTAAATGAACAGGTCTGGTGAAGTTCTGGTACAGGAGGCAGTAGGACAGATTTGTCTCCATAAACCAGAAGTAATTGATTTCTGACACTTCAGCAATGTGAACAAGGTGCTGGTCTAGCAGTCTTTGACCCGAGCCATGCTTGATCAGATTCCAAACTGGTTCACATACTGCAGGCTCCATGTTCATTTACACTAGTGTGTTTACATTACATCAATTCCC